ATGTAGCTTCTCCTTGGGGATGTCTTGTAGGAAGTCAGTCTTGCAAGCTGAAGCAGGGAACTGCTAAGGCAGCTGCACCCGGTGCAACCATCACAAACCAAGAGACCCAAGAACTAGAAAGGTGAGGCTCACCATCCATTTATCCCTTCACCTTTCAGTTAGCCCCACATGTGATTATCGGCCAGGTTGGCACAATTAACTAACTCAGTGTTTTAATTCTAGTTTATCATTTTTTCATTTTATTGGTCATGATCTTGTTTTCATAGCTAAGAAACCTTTGCCTAACCTGAGGTCGCACATATTTTTGCCTCTTCTTTTAAAACTACCTTTTTTAGTTTTAGCTCTCACTTTCAGGTGTATGTTGTATGGCCCGTTTTGAGTTCTTTTTTTTTTTTATATGAAAGAAAATATGTCTTTAAGTTCTTCCCCCCAAGCCCCCCCAATCTTTCAGAAATTTGGTTGTGTGATTGTTGCAACATCATTTGTTAAAAAAGTATCCTTTCCCCTTTGAGTGCCTTGGCACCTTTGTCAAAAATTCAATTGACCATAAGTGTGGGGGTTATTTTTGAAGCTTATATTCTGTTTCATTGATCTGTATAGCTATCCTTATGCCTATACCACATTTTCTTGAGTACTATAGCTCTATAGTTCTGAATATTTTAAAATGCCTTTTCAGCTTTGTCTTTCTTTTCAAAATTGTTTTCACTAGCCCCAGTCATCTTTCACTGTCCAACTTTTTAGTGTCTGCAAAAAGGTTTGCTAAGACTTGGTAAAATGTCAAATCTGTAGACTTAGGGAAGCTTGTCATCTGCAGACTATTGTGTCTTCTAACCTGTGAACATGGAATGAATGTCTTTTTATTTATTTAGAGCTTTAATTTCTCTTGGCTGTGCTGTATAGTTTTCCCATATATAAGTGTTGCTTCTTTAAGTTTAGTTTTAATTATTTTCTTTGTATGATGTGTTTATGAATGAAATGTATGATGTCTTTATGAATGAAACGTTTCATAATTTCTTTTTGGTCATTGTTAGTATGTAGAAAAAGAAGTGTTTTATAAAAATTTTATATCGATCTTATTAAACTAAGTGTTGTTCAATTTATGTATTTTTTATGCATTCCTTAGGACCCTAACTACTTTATACTTGTTTTGGGGGTATAGAATTTGCAGACCTCTTCAATTTGCCACAACCAGAAGCTCCATCCTATTAGTTGTTGTAAAGGTTGTTAGTTACTCTTCTGGTGGTAACTGCTTGTCATGTTCTTTTTAAAAAAAACCTGTGATAATACTTCTGAGGAGGTCTTTTTAATCAAATATTTGTATTTACTTTATGTAATTATAAATCACATTATATTGTGTATTTTTTTTTCTAGGTTCCCCCTAACAAAATAGACTATGAATATAGCGAACTTATATTGTATCAAAATCAAGTGATGAGAGAGGCAGATCTGTTTCAGGAATCACTGGACCATATAGAAGCTTATGGGAAACAAATATGTGATAAACTTTTGGTGGATGAAATTAAAGGTAAGTTGATTTGCTTATTTTTAAGTACCGTATATACTGGTGGATAAGCCAAGTTTTTTAGCACTTTATGCAGTTTCTGTGGTAAAATAGGTGCCTTGGCTGATACTCGGATGGACTTATACTAGAGTATATAGGTAGCTTAAATTGTAAAACCAAATGGTAAACCTAATTCTGTCCTAGAATTTCAATAGCATTTGCTATTCAATAGCATTATATCAGGCAGTATCCTGATGACTTAATTATGAAGTCATTAATTCTCATAGTAACTATGACACAGTTATTAAGATACTCATTTTAGTAAAGAAAGGACTGAGGAATAGGAAACTAAGTGACTTTCCCAAAGACACGTAACAAAGTAGAGCTGGGATTTAAGTCCAGGCATTTTGGCTACAGATTCCATTCTCTTAAGAAGTGTGTTCCACCTTCATATCAGATATATCCATATATAGTAGGACATTGCGAGTAAATGATGACACTGTAATCAATTATCAAAGTAAGATTTGAGAACATTTTATTACGGGGTAACTATGAAGGCAGGATTCCTTTAAAACACGTTTAACAATGTTTATCAATTAAAGCTGAAGCAGACTTTTT